TGGAGATAACCTAGTTTGGTGACCAACTAAACCCACATTGGAGAGTGTGCATACTTATAGTTTTGGGTGAGAAACCTTGAAGATTGGTTGCGGGACATAGACGATCCACAGTAGTGAGCGTGTCCAAGTGAACTGAGATTTTAAGTTAAATTCTCCTTTAGTAGTTTAGCTTTAGTGGGAGAATAGTGAGATTTCTAACATCAGTCACATTGTCAATTTTAGCACATCCCATTTGAATGCATAGCGAGAGCTATTGAATGTTTGTTTATGGGTTTTCATATATCATCTCAAAACAACCACGTTCAACCTCCAAAATGGCCATTCAAATGAGGTTTGTACTTTGGCCTTGAAATATTATTTTTGATCCAAAATTGTCAAATCAACACACAAAATTCTATATGTATTTATGAGATCAATTATGGAATTTGTCACACCCCAGATTGGCCAGGCATGCGACAGGTGTTATTTCGTTCCGTTGGATATTGTAATAACGTAAGGGAACAACAATGTAGGATAGCGGAACAACCTAGCACATTCAAATTACATAATTCTGTATAAATGTGTACATAACATGTATCCTACTAAAACTATTACACATTACATGTCAGATAAGCACATCCTACACATAAAATTCACATATATGTTAATTACATGCTTCTAGTACATTTCCTAAACTATATAAAAGTTCGGGTAGTTCACTATGTACAAATCTTCCCGCCTTGACATATCTGAAAAGGGGAAAGTAATGTAAGGTGAGCATTAACAGCTCAGTGGAGTAACTCAATTTTCAAGTAAATGAGTTTGAAAATATATAGTTTAGCATGATTGGGTAAAAGTGAAACGAACATTTGATATAAATATACATATAAAAATGTCATTTCCTATAAACAGAATCATTTAATTAAAGACTTGACAGTAAAAGAGAGTTTAGGAATATCCTATACAGTGCTATACCGGTGGGCAATCAACCTAATAGACCACTCAAAGTCAATACGAATATACGATCCAACCTTTTAGAGGACTACCACCCCGGGAAAGATAAGATCCCTAATCAAATTCAGCACCTAAGTCAGAAGACCAACTGGGCCACTCACGCATTTATGAACTCAATGAGAATCCTGTACGGCCTTAAACTAGAATGTAAACCCTCGGCCCCTCGATCTGTGTGTACTTACGTTTAGCTTAAAAGGGTCCCAACATCTCATTTAATACGGATAAAATCATCATTTCGAACAATTATGCGTAATCCCACTCAAAACCCTAATTTGAATTTGAAATTTCAAGTCCAAGTTCAAATACCCAATCATATGATTTAAAACATGTTAAACAGTCATAAATATTGTAAGGAATAATTCTAAAAAAAATTTAAAATGTTTCGTATGATCAAAAATTGAGCAACCCTACTTGATGAATTATCTGGACCTAGAATGACCAAAAATGAAATGGTGTTATTTTTTAATGAAATTTCATACACATACTAATTTTAACTAATTAAAATTGAAATTAAAATTTATTTGACAAAAATACCCAAAAACCGGGTCAAATCGACCCTAAAAGGCAAAACAAACATTTTATACTACATCTTGATCTGGGTATCGGTTTAACCTCAAATTTTTATCGGGACATCCGCATAGAGTTATGGAACTTTTGACACCGACCAGAGGTCCATTGGACACCAGATGCGCCCTCACGCGCCATTGGGGTGTCCAGTGGTCTTCCAGTCCACTTCATCTTCAACCTCTAGCAAACCTTAGGTTCCCCACTTTATGTTGCAGGAACCCTAATTCTCACTACTATATCTCACTCCACAGTACATCTTTTTCCCTATTTTTAAAACTCACACACCACATTGCACTCTTTAGATTCTCATTGGGAAGACACTTCGAATCAAACTCTAACCCATCTAAAAATTAAACCAAAGTTTAAGAAAAATAAGGTTTTCAAGTTATGGCCAAACGTGCAACTGCCATTTTTACCCCCCAAATGAACTCTAAATTCATTTTTAAGGTTACTAATGGATTTCTAGGGTTCGTTTTAGTCTAGATCTATACCTCTTACATTTTAAAAACACAAGATTCAATGTGTCAAATTCCAAGAACACAAACCCTAGCCTTTAACTTCACCTTCTTGAAACCACCTCCACAAACCGTGGCCACCCTTCAAACAACCACCAAACTTCAAAGCAAACATTTAGCAGTCGTTTCCAAACTCAAAATTAAACCAAAACTCTATAAAAATTCAAACTCGTTTTAAAACTCATTAAAACCCAAAATTTCGAAATAGTATGTAAAACATGTTTTAAACATAAAAAATGGACTCCTAACATCCTAATTAGGTAAGAATGATACCGTTTGATGCTTGAAGTGACTCTGACGAAGTTTTGCTGTTCTCAGTTTCTCTTTCTCTCTCTCTAACTTCTCTCCTCAGTATGTCTCTCCTCCAAACGGTTCTTCCAGATCCATAGCTGTGGTTGGAGACTTCAGCACCTCCTCAAGGCTTCTGGAGGCTTGGAGAAGGACGGGGAGCCTCTTGTTGTAGTTACGCAATAGCTTGGATAAAAATGCCATGCAATGATATTTCTGTAATTATTTAAAAATCCAAAATTAATTTTAAATATATATATTTTTATAATCATATACATATTAAAACATGCCCTAGAAAAATATGCACCTACTTTTAAAAATTAAAATAAATATTTATTTTTGTCTCTAAATATTTCGTTTTGCACCCCTAACTGTTTGATTCGCGTTAAACCTACTTCACCAGATCCACACTCTGGCTTCCTCCCAACTCACCAATCAAATTGCTACCCAATTTTTGCATCCCAATCATCGTTAAAACACCCTCCAACACACGAACACACTCTAATGATCCTCTGTTCACAGTCCAACTCCCCGACATCCAAACCCCTAGTCACTCACATCCAAATCTTGATCCGATTCTTGGTCTCCGAATATCAGGTTATTACATAATTAAGTTATGTTTACTCACTTTAAATTGATTATCCGTTTCCTTCACTTTCCTGGTAGGATTGGGAATCCTGTATTTTACATATCCATATGATTGAGTCCTTGGGTTTTCCAAAAAGTATAAAATGAAGTGCTTCAAATCATTGTCATTTGACTCGGACCTGTTCTAAAAAAGTTGAGGTATTTCGAATTGTTTGTTGACACGAACAAAGTCAGAGAAATCCCTAAGCCACTTATGATCTCTTTTTGCTAAATTTAAACAATTTCAACTCAATACACAAGTAAAGCTTATCGTTCAAGGTTGCGGTAGTAGCCATTGACTTATAGAGTAGTGAGAAGCAACAATCACCGTGTAATAAAACAATTGGGCAATACACAAAAATTGTTAGATTAAAGAAGTTACACATGAAAGAGATTCAAGCCATATCACGGTGTCGTAAAGTGGTATCAATCGATTTTTGATGACTATGACTCAAAGTTAACTTGGACACATCTTAAATGGTTCAACTGAGTAACATGAGAATCGTTGTTATGTGGAAGGTATCAGATCTGAAGGTATTGAGTCAGATACGATTTGGCAGAGACACATTGTTGTTGGCCAAACATTTTAATCATGCTAAGGCTCACCAGGTCGCTAGGTTTACTTAACAACCTACATAACATCTAGTCGTTTTGACATTGGCCGATCCTTTGAAGCATGCTAAGGTTAACCAGGTCTCTAGGTTTACTTAATAGCCTACATAGCGTCTATCATATGATGAAGTCTTCAAATTTCTTCAACATATTCTAGCTTCGATCTTCAATCTTCAATAACAAAGAACTATAAAACTTTTATTGATGTCACTTGTGTAATTTTCAAACACAAGTTTGAATTTTCCAACTTATGACATCATTCTACGAAAAACTTGGATTTGACTAGGTGCATTGGAACCTGTATTTCAGTTTTGGAAGAGACAGCATTATTTTAGGCGTAAAGCAAACGGAGATGCTCAGGTTTCCTGAGGTCTAAGCGAGAGGTGAGAGGCAAAGCAAGCCGTTCATCAATGCGAGGTGAACCAAATGAAAACTGAGCAGACATTTTATGATTATCATTCTAAATACTAACTATTCAAGTTTCAACTTCTCAAATTCTAGATATTCAAATACAACCAAAAGCATAAACATTTAAATTCAAACAAGCAACAAGAATTTCTCAAACCTTAACATTGGATAATACACAAGTCAAACTGTTAAAACGATTAAACATTCATTCAATTTCCGTTTATCCCTCTCCCGCAGGCCCTTAATTTGGTCCAAACCTGTCGAGATTCAAGAGAAAATTTTAGGGTTCACATAAATATTCATGGAACCTCAATTTGCTGTATTAGTGCACATCAAAAAAATTTTCCAATTTAGTAGATTTAAGGTCCATAACAGATCAACATAGCAAAAAAAAAGAAAAAAAAATAGAAAAGTGCTTGCGTCGTCACCTAGAAATTAATCTTGAGCACTCGCTTTTTCAGCTTAAGCTTCGGTTGTGGCACATCGCCTCACCTTGGAGCACTTGAGGCAAGCTGCTTCACTTGACTTCGCCAATCACCTAAGAAATTGCCTAAGTGCACTTTTGATAACACTTGGGGAGGCCATATTCCTCTCAGTTTTGGGACTAATTGTATGAGAAGGTATGGCTCTAAATCGATGTGTTAGTTGAGAGACGATTATTGAAAAAAACTACCGCTGATGACTTGCAATCTTGGCATCGACAAGAACATACGATGAGTAGACAGGCAAAATCTCATTATTGAAAACTAAATATATATTTTCAATTTTCTAGCTATATAATATTGTTGTTAATTTTTCTTATTCTTCTCATGGATGTTTCTGGTATCTTTTTTTTTTTCACTTGGTTAGGTCATTGGATCAATCGCTGGGGTAAGGCTTCTCATTGAGACCTTTCCTGAAGTAGGACATGGGCCACGTTTGAATGTTGACATCCATCAAGGTGCACTGACAGAAGGATTTCTAACGTTTACAATTGTAATTATATCACTGGGGCTTGCTAGAAACATTCCAGGAAGTTTCTTCATGAAAACTTGGATCTCCAGTGTCTCTAAACTCACTCTCCATATACTTGGCTCTGATCTAACTGGTGGATGTATGAACCCAGCCTCTGTAAGTACTTTTACCATGTCTAGTTGCTCTGTTCTATGTTTTCTCCTGAACATTCAGATTTCAGATATTTTGCTTAGTATTTGGAGTGAAGATCTATGCATTTCTTAGGTAATGGGTTGGGCTTATGCTCGTGGGGATCATATAACCAAGGAGCATATACTTGTTTATTGGCTTGCCCCAATTGAGGCGACTCTATTGGCAGTATGGACATTTAGGTTGCTAGTCCAGCCACTGAAAGAAGGAAAGGAAAACATGAAGACTAGAAAACTGGACTGAAGGGATTTCCTTCTTTCGGATTTTGATTGTATTGGATATAGTCTAACCTGTGATTATCAGGGAATCAGAACATGCAGAAGGTAGCTACAAGATTAAAATTCGACCAGTGGAGTTCATTCTCTTTGGAATTTGATTTCTTTCAGTTCATCCAATGTGTAATTATTGTAAATTATGTTCACTGTTCCAATTTTTTGTGGACAAAATTTTAAAATTTCCCACATGCATGCATGCCCTAGTAGCATCCTTAGGATGATATGATTTGTACATTGAGGAGCTAATATCATTGCTGTAATTGGAAAAAATTTTCCATTTTGAATGACATTTGGCAGAATTGTAGAAACATTGTGAATGGCAATCTCTGTTCTTTGGCAAATGCCTGAGCCTGCCACCAATGTATTTGACAACCAAAACTAGCTTGCATGAACAGAGATCCAGTTTCCTTTGAAAAAGAAATGTACTGATTACAAAAGGTTAGCCGGACAACTGGGATTTTTGGGAGCATCATAATGAATGTACAATACTTGAGCTAGAAAATTGAAGAAATGTTCCTTAACTCGAAGCATATTCCTAAGGCACACCATGGTAAAATTCTTGTTAGAATTCATTTTCGTTTATACCAACCACTGGTGTGTAAATCATAATGAATATACACAGGTGCTCTGGTATTCTCCTTACTGTGGCTGCTTTGGCTTGTGTGGTTCCTTATTTTCAAATTGACTGTTTATATGTTGAAATTTGTTTGTCATGATAGACATAACAGACGATGTAAGGAAGACAAGTGTCAAGAGATATTCTCGCCTGTGGACAAGTGTCCAGAATGAATCATGTTATATTAGATGAGTTCAGTCACGTTATCATGTTAATTTTAAGGATTTCAGTTTATGTTAAATTTGGATTTAGTAAGCATGTTTTGGGCTTGAAGAAGGAAACAAGGCAAGGTGATGTAGTGAGTCTTCAGGAGGCATGGCTGATGTTTAATCAGAAGAGTTCATTGTAGATTGCATGTCTATCCTCCTGGAAGAAATGTTGAAATGCCAATTAGATAACCTCATTGGAATCTTTTGTGCATGTATTTTAACTTAATTGGAGTAGCTTTTCTGGTACACACAGTGGAGTATTGCATTTTTCAACCGAATCCAAAGCCCTGAGTTCTGTTAATTTGTGAGCCGGTTGCAGATTAGGATTGTTACCCCTAATCATGGTCTGGTACGGAGGCTTTGTCATGTTATAAAGTCTATGTAGTTAAAGCCTAGTTTGATATGAAGCTTAAAGGCAGTTTGATTGTAGTAGAGCTGGATGAAGTCACCTTGCCCGTGTGATACCAGTATTATGCGACTCCATTCATGTATGTATCAGCATACTCACAGACGGCAAAGCCGTTCTTTAATTGCACCGAGTACCTTAAAATGTAATTAACTAGGTAGCACGTTATAAAAACTGTTATAAAACAGAGCACCCCTTACTGATTTGGTGATCATATGGTTGTTTGTTGTTGGCGATGACCTTCTGAATGACATTTGCTAATGCTCATCAATGAAATTTTACCTTCTGAGAGAGCTGTTTTAGCTAACTAAAGTTGAGTTTGAAATGCTCACAGGATCGCGGCAAAAGGACTTCAGTTGGAATACTAAGATAAAATAAAGGCTTAGCAGATTTTTCAACAGATTCAGTTACCTTGTTATGGACATTGGCATCAAACTATTCCTTTCTCCACATTTTATAATTTTGGGCAAATTTCATTTTATTCCTTACAGTTTGCCCTTTATGCACATCAACCCCTTCACATTTAAAAATAAACATACTTTGTGGACCAAAGTGCACTATTAACTATGCTGACGGTGAATAAAAATGGCCTAAATGCCCCCACCCTCTCCCTCTTTCATCTTTGACAGAGCTAACCCCATTCTTCACCTTCATCCCCACTGCTGCCATCCTCCAAAAACCACCGCAAACAATACCTACGGCAAAACACAAGCCCCCAAACATCCACGGCACCCCATCTCCCTCTAGCACAACCGCCAGAGAGAAACCCATTAAAAACAACATCACTTGAAGAGAGAGCAAAGCTAAGAACTCAGATAGAAATAAAAAAAAATGTACCTATTTGAAGGGATGTGGACGGGGATGTCAGTCATAAATTGACATATGGCTACTTACAGCCAGCAAAGTGCGTCACTTGGGCCCCCAATGACCAAGATCGGGTAAAGAACGTCATAGAACGATAGTGTACATCAAGCAGAGGAATGGACATGAATACGGTCTGTGCTGAGTGTTGAAGTATGTATACTTTCGGTAGTGAGGAGAACTTTCTAGTGGTGGTCAGCTCATCGTGCATGAACTGAAATGTCAATAAAGAGAACCGTAGTGAATGAAGGTAGTAAGTGCAGAAGATTCTAGGTGACTATGCTGATGATGATGGGCCACTATCGTAACTCCTCCCAAGTAACCTCGGGATCTCTCTTTGGTTCTCCTCGTACTTGTTCATTCTTTTATAAAGCTGAGTCATCCTTGTCTTGAAATCCAATAAAATATACTTGTCAATCAAATCATTTACTAGAATATAGGACTGTTGCTATAGCTCCTTAGGCAATTGAAAATCTGCATGTTCTAGATACGGCCTACTTGTGGTTCTGGCGGCACTTATTACTACACCTCTGCCTGAATTCCATGACTCTTTTTCAACGAAATTTTATCCAAGGGTGCAAAATGTTCCACAATAGACCATAATATATCTGATATCACTCCATTTTGCGTACATAATTCAATTGCTAAAACAACAAAAGGAAATGAGGGCTTTTTATTTTGCACGACTAGTATCATTTGATCTATAATCAGAGTCGGTTGGTCAATAGTATGTCTCATTCCAAAAGCATATAGAAAATATGCTTTCTCATAGAAGACTTGATTTTTCTAGGATTAGGGTAGCAAATTGTTCACAATAATCAAATTCAAAATCCGATATTTATCAATCAACTCTCCCTACTTAATGTATTTGTTTGGCTTACCTGAGACATAATTCAGATTCCTAGTCAACTCAATCCCAACAGTATACATACTAGACAATGTGGTAATGGAATATTGGGGATAAGGGTGTCTCGACATAGGGTTCAAATAATTAATAATAGTAGACATTGTAACTTGAAATTTAATCCCCCTAACATTAGATCATCTCGACTAGATTAAGTATGAGCAGAGTAAGGATTATCCTGAGACGTCATCCTATTACAGTCACATGCTTTCAAGATATGTGCGACCAAAAATTAATCGATTCACTAATGTTCTTAATTTAGAAGATTTCGATTAAAATTAATTATGATCAAAGTTGTATAATCTTAGTATGTGTATGAATGTATATAATTATAGGTTGAATTAATGTATTAATTTAGAATTATGGTTGATTAGATAGTTAAATGTGAAGATTTTTGAATTTAAACTGATTATTTGTAACTGCAAGTTGTGTAAAACCCAGGTAAATTTGAATTTTTTTGAAAAAGGGCAAAACCATAATTTGTCACTATAATGAGATTGAAAATCCGTATTTTTCTAGAGCTCGGATGACGCAACGGACCTCACCATTGAATTCGTCTCACAAAACTTAGTTACCCAAACAATTTTCGTTGAATTCCGAGATAGTCGAATTTTTTATGTTTTACGAGACAACTAGGTGTCGGGTGACCTCACAAACGTCCCCAAAAATAAATTTTATAAATTTTTCTTAAAATTAAAGGAAAGTTCAAATAAAAATTATTTGAACTTAAATCGGGACAAAATTAAGTCATTTCGAGACAGAAACGGACCTAAAAATGGGGAACGTGCGGCACAATGTGGACCGCACAACTAAAGGGTATAAATAAGGAGAAATATCTGATTTTCTGCCTATTTTCGTCAGATCTCACACGTTAGAAGAGAAAGAGAGAGAAGAGAGAAAAAGAAAAAAAATTCTTGCTTTCTTTCTTCGATCCACGGAGTTCTGTCGGTCGGAATCCCTCTGACTAAGAGTTAAAGTTGATCACCGTGACGAGGGCTATGCAGCCATACCAAGAATGAGAGATTTTACCGAAGATTCAAGGGTTTGGGGAAATCAAAGTTTTTGGGGCTTGAGAGGTGTTCTTGGACTTAGGAAGCACTCTTAAAGGTTCTACCCTTCATTTTACGCTCCAAGAGGTAGGGTTTCCTCCTACATTGGTTTATTTCTTACCTAGAATGTTTTATGAAATGGGTAAGTATGTAGAATAACCTAGGTCACTTGACTGTAGTTATAGAAATGAGGAAATGGGTATGGAAATGACTTAGACCAATTCCTAGATAAGCTTGGTATAGGGAAAAGTGCGTGTGTAATTTCCTTAGAACATGATATTTATGTGGGAAATTTGTGTGATAACATGAATTGTTTGCCTTGAAAGTATTTTGCTAAATGCCTATGTGGAATTAAGTTTGTTATGACATGAGTTTTGTATAACATGTTTGTGACTTTTGTTGAGGATAAACGAGTAGAGATATGTTGTTAATTCCTTAACATCATAATAATTTATAGTAATTATATGCATTTGATATAAATTGTTATGACATATGTTGAAATATGTGGTTAAATTGTTCATCAGCATTCATTGCATTTTGGGTATAAAGTTGACATCACATTCATGGGCATTATGCATGAGTGTGGGTGCGTGAGTACATAGTTTAATCAAACACCACACTTGGTAGTTGATGGGTGGGCTCAGAAAGGTTAGATTGAATATCTGACTGAGTCGCATGTTGCATTAAAAACTTGTGTCGGATATAGTAAGAAGGGCTAAACACGTCCTCGAATATAAGACCCGGCTACTTGGTTCATACAATCTCTTGAGGTGAAATTCCGAAAAAGTGTAATGGTGTGTGGAACCGGCGGTGAGACTCCGAGAATCCGAATACCCAAATAAAGACACATGAACTTGTTTATAAAATAGTCATTCGGTGTGAAACATCAATGACGGGGGCTTGGAACTCCCTGGGTTTTTCATACATGTAGCATTGCATGGTGTAAAGGGAGCTGGGAAGGCTCGAGGTATATTGCATGAGTGAGTCTCACTTCATTTTATGGCTTGATATGGTAGAATTCCAATATTGAATGATATACTATTGTTTGGAATGAAAAATAATTGTTGATTGTGGCATGTGCACTCTTCATATGCATCTAGGGGGGGGGGAGTAGCCACTGTAGGAGATACTCTATTGAGCGTAACTTATCCTATACGAAAAAAATTTCAGGTGGGGGATGCACACCAGTGAACAACTCTCATTCAAGACCCCAGTGATGAAGAAAGGCCGACTTGTGGCCTTGAATCGTTTTCTTGTAAAACTATAGTGAAAAATTATATTTGGGCATGTAATCGTAAGTAATTACTTGTAATAGAACTTGTATAAAATAGGTTTTATGTGAAAAACCTTATTAAGTATGTTTTGGATGGTTTTGGAATAGATTGGAATGGATTGAAAATTGACAACAGGCGAAATAGACAAA